TTAACTCAGAGATCATGAGTATGGAAAAGGCCCCCTTTCATTGTTGAAGGGGTCATTGGCTGTAGCACGATGGTGTTGAATATGGGAATACTTGTGGAAGATAAGCCTTGTGTTAAACATGTATGTAAATAAAGTCTACTACTAGTACTGCTATACAACTCCTACTACCAATACTACTATTCTACTATACTAACACTTCTCCTCCACCTCCTCCTCCTTCTCCTTCTCCCCTCCGGAATATTGTATTATTCTCTTGTGGTTAGTAAAAACTTAACTCAGAGAACATTAGAGGCTCTTTCAGATAAAACCTCGGCGGTATCTTTTTGACGACGTAACGCTTGATACCGGTTCAATTTATTTATGTTATAGCAAATAGCTCATTAAATACGCGATACGTCCTTTGTTGCGCGCAGTTGCTATTTTTCAACACGCACACTCACACACACGGACACGCACGCACACGCACACGCACACGCACACACACACACACACACACAAGCGCAGCGGCCTTTTTTTTTTGTAGTTTACCGCTCCATATCTAATCGCGCGTCATGAATAATCTACTTGGTAATGATGAAAATATATTTTGTCATACAATCAAATAAAGTGTAGACTGAGCAGAACCTACTAGCGGATATTGTGCCAAGAGACTAATAATGATAATAATAATAATAACATTAATAATAGTGACACTAATGACAATAATGAAAATAATAACATTTATAATATTTGTTGTTAACCCATAAATAACACTGTTGTCCCTGAGGACCCTACAATTATATGATTACCCGACTTTAGTCGGGCTACCATGATAAGTCGATCAAGCACTTAATGAATTTCTTTCTACTGGGCGGGCACCCAACTTCTACACCTGGATCGAGAGGGGCAAATGTAGATTAATAACTTGCCAAAGGACATGAGTACCGCAGTGGGACTCGAACAATGTGATTCTAAGTTCAGTGACGTGTCCACCCGACTACGACACCTCTACATGATAATGAGTAAAGCGAAATAATAATCGACCTGGTATACTCTAAACGCGATGTCACATAATATGTATATGTGAGTTATGCTTTTCATTGAATGTGATGTAAGCCAAAAGTTCGGCATTTTATTAAACAAACACTACACAGCTGAGTGACAAATAAATTCAGGATTAGGCCTATTTCAAGCCAGTTTATCTAAAGAGTAGCTTCAATGATAATAATAATAATATCGATGATTCAGGAGCGTTAAAAACAGAAAATACCATAGCGCTTCCTAAGTAACAGATTATGAAGAGAAACACAACAAGTCATAAAATTGGTCAATCATATTATATTTATTTATTTACTGAGTATCCTGAGGGAAGAAGTATGTTTTGAAGACTTTTTTGTTGATCTTTTGATTTTTTGATTCTCACCGTTTTTGTTCTTGGTGTGATTGGCCTGTCTGTCACCACTTTCAATCAAATGAAAAGAGTGCCAAATACAATTTTAAAAAAATCGTTTATGAACTGCATTATTTCATTGGATTTTTTTTGTCTTTCTTTCCTTCGATACGTTGAGCAACGATCGGATTTTTTTCTTCTTAACATTATCTAACATTCTCCCTATTAAAAAATGTTAAACCTTGGCATTTATTTGAAATGTCATGCAATGTGCTGCATTCAAATTGACACAAATGACACAGAAATGGTTAGAGGAAACACATTCCATGGCACAGGGAAATGAAATCGAGTAAGAGACGAGCTCTTTGTGTTGTACATGCTTTGTCTGACAAGGAGTATTGCTAGGAGAAACCCATGACAAAAAGAATCAATTACGTACCTTTTCAATCTTTAGTGGCTCTGAGTTTTATTTTTGTTAAAGGAAAGATATAGATAGGTTGTAGTTGCTTTCAGAGATCAGAGCGATATTGCTTTATGTGGTATTTTTTGCTGACAGAAGAGATGAAAACCGGGAAGTCATATCAGTTTTATTTTAATTACTATCTGGTTATCAGCATCGTACCAGTGTATTTGTTGCATGTCTTATATAAGTGCTAGTGAAGTAAGAAAGTCATGACGGACGTAAAAAATGCGGTAATCTTCTGGTTTTTATTCCTTACTGGATTACCCGGAAACACCATCACATTGGCCGCCTTTGCCATCAAGACGAAAAAGAAAAGTACGGACATTTTACTCATAATCCAGGCCTTGGTAGATTTGATTGCTTGTATCACCCCGCAGATAGATATGGTGAAGGGTGTATCTTCCTGCTTGGTCATCGTTATCGTCCTATTCACCTTATCTACGGCCTCTCTATTTCTAACATTCGCCATTGCTGTGGACAGGTATATTACAGTCTGCAGACCATTTGGTCGTCATATGACCAAACCCCAAGCCGTAGTATTTGCAGCAGCATGCATATCATTATCTTTCGTTCTCAACGTACCTATACTTTGGTATGTTACAGTCGTATACACCGAATCAACTGGCTGTATATTTACTATTTTAGCATCACCTTTTCGGAAGTTGGTGAAAGTACTACAGATCGCGTCGTTTTTTGTTGCTGCTGCCGTGAGTATGTACTCGTACCTTAAAGTATTCGCCTTGATACGCAGGCAAGTCCGCGTTAGATCCGAAATGAGTGCTGGTGGTACTACAAGGAATGCTGCCAACGCAACGTCTGTGTTGTCAACCGTTTCAGCTTCAATTGCAGAACCTGTTCCAGTACACCAACACGCACGGAATGGCTATGTGGCAGATTCAGCGTCAACAGATAGGCGGTTAACCCTCATGTGCGACAACGGTGTAGTACATAACTCGGACTACCAACAAATACCCTCCTTTGAACGTGATAAACTCTTCAATGTTGGAAGTTGTATTGAGACATCTGTCAACAACCCTGACCACACGCCGTCATCAACGAATACCGTTCGAAACCAATTTCAAGGTAGCACTGACAACTCTCGACCTCAGAGGAGAATCCAGGGTGACAAAACCACTAAGATGCTTCTTGTTACTACCGTTTTTCTCATCCTGTCCTGGGTACCTTACATCCTAATCACCGCTCTGCCGACCAAACTTTACATCTACCTTGTGACAAAGATCTCACAGGAAAACGTGTTATTGCTCTTTCGCCTCCGAGGCTTTAATAACATGATCAACGCCTTCGTGTACTGGGCCGTGAACCCCTTTTTCAGGCAAGACGTGAAGCAAATTTTTATCCGTCTTAGGAACTTATGTTAAGATAAATGGTAAACATGCGGATACAAGGGGGGGGGGGGGGATACATGCCATCTATATTCTTAACGAAGAGCATCTTCTGAGTTCACGGAAGCGAGGGCTCAGGGTGTTCAACACCTACACTAAAAAAAACAGACAAAAAGACAATGTGTAGTAGTTTCTTAATCTAAATGATAATCACGAAAACTTAGTTATTGGATGTTGAAATAAAATACAAATTGTAACTTTACATCCATTCTGGATGTGATAATATATAAATTTCTCCAGAAATCAAATATGCAAGCAACGCTACATATAGGTAATACGTAGAAATGGTAGGAAGAAAAGAAATTTGGAGAAAATTGTTTGGTGTTCGAGTCAATTGATCGGGTGAGCGACAAGAGGCTTAAGACAAATCACTTAACAAATGGACATTGCTGAAATTGATATCAATTATTTAAAAAACACTTCCTAATTATCTAGAATGAGGAACTTAAAAGGACACTGGGTGACGAACACTAAACACAATTTAAACAAATTAATAGAAACAATGACAGAATAAAACAAGAATAGAATCCATGATCTTTTGGATTTGCAGAGGTGAAATGTGGTTCTATGCGACGAGAATCGTTGAGATAAGTGCATTATACACGTTTTACGAGGTAACGTTGTTACCTTTGGTAATATTGAAAGTAGGCACATTTTCACACCCCAAACACCAGTTGAAGAAAAAATAAATTGTCAATCGTTTGGCCAACTATTTACACTACCAGAAAACCCATAAAAACCTTCAAAGTTTGCTCATATATATTTTTTGAGAGTAGTACGCATAGGGACTATTAGGTGCCCCGCATGTGTTAGCTCGGAAGCGTGGAGAGTCACTTGCTAAAGGTATTTTTTACCGAAGTTTGCATTAACACCACAAGAATTTGTGAAACTTCGGAGTTGGATTTTTCGATTTCGATTTATTCGTCGTTTTTGTCGTTGAAACACCGGAATTTGAAAAAAAATCTAAGCTTTTTTGGTTGCACTGTATATGCAGCCAGTCTAAACGGCTGACCATTGTATGTCATTGACGTGGAATCAAAGATTACAACTTGAAGGTTTGCTCTTGGTTACAAAGAACAGGCAAGACTGAAACATTGTCTGATAATTCAATTGAGTATATCAGTACTTGCATCACGTAACAAGCAAAAACATCAACGGCTAATTTGATATTTCACCATGCAAGGTCAATTTAAATATTGGTTTCATCCTTGACCGCGGGGGCAGCGTCCTTATTCTACGAACGTCAGAAGGCGATTCAATAATGCAGAGAGAAATAAAGAGAGGGAGAGAGAGACAGAGACCTAGACAGAGAGAGAATAATTATAAAAAGAAAGAAGGGAAAAGAATATAAAAAGAGCACGAAAGTTGCTTTAGAACCATTCCATTATTGAAATTCTTAGCTGTTCAATTACGCTGCAAAATCTCTCGCTTCTCTGTTCAAAGGAGCGCCTTGACTGTTTGTTGTAATCATTTAACCGACACTCCGACAGGTCGATATTTCAAACTGAATCCCATCACTACGTCGGCAGAATCAATTCAGAAGGAGTTGCTAGGGGACTTTATTTTCATGCTCGCATGTTCCACAATAGACCGGGAGCTAAAAACCTTTTAGAAGCTTAGCAACATCAGATTGATGTTGCATTTTTTGTAAAAGGTTTCTCGAAGAAGTATATCCCAGGGACTCATCATTCGTACAAACATCCCTGTATAACTCGCACATCATAAAGCTCTTTCCCAAACTTGTATAAAAATTACCAGCTTCAGGATGGATGTGGGAAGTGTGGCCATCTTCTGTGTAATATTCATCACCGGTTTTCCAGGAAACACCATCATCCTGGCAGCATATGCCACTAAACCCCAAAAGAAGAGCACGGACCTGTTGATTATAATCCAAGCCTTGGTAGATCTGACTGCTTGTATCATCCCTCAGTCTGAGATGATCAGTGGCGTGGTTATCTGCTGGATGACTCTAATTATCCGACTCTCAACAAATCTTGGTACTCTCTTCTTGACTTTCGTTATTGCTGTCGACAGGTATGTTACAGTCTGCAAACCTTTTGGCCGTCATCTGACGAAAACCCAAGCCGTTGTTCTTGCGATAGCAAGTCTGGCATTCTCCCTCCTCATCAATCTTGCAACACTTGGGTACTTTAAAGTCATAAAAGTCGAAGACGTAACATCGGCGGGGTGCATCTGGACTTATGCTGTCGCGTCTCCACTACAGATTTCTATGAACGTACTCCAAACCGTCTTGTTCTTTGTTGCGGTGGCCGTAATCATGTTTTCTTACACTAAGATATTCACATTGATACGTCGGCAAGCCCGGGTCAGAACCGAAATGGATGCTGGTCTTGCAAGCCACACTGTTACCAGAACGACTTCTATAATAGGAACCATTTCTGAGTCTGTTACGGCATCTGGTAGAGGTTCCAGGAAGGCATGGAAAAATAACATTGCACCAACAGCAAACATGCAATCCTCCCTGATAAATGAAAGCAGCGGAGTTCAGAATCCGGGTTATCTAGAAGTACCATCCCCTAGACCTGGTGGTGAACCTTCCAACTCTGTGCGTACGCTCTCCAATTCTCCTGAAGGACCCGTTGCTGGGAGGGATGGACCGTCTTCGGCAAGTATGGAGATAGCTGCTGCTCAAAGTTCCGCTGCAGCCGCTGGACACCCGAGTCAACCTGGAGAAAACAGCGGATCTAATAGACCTACCAGAAGGGTCCATGGCGACCGGACAACTAAAATGCTTCTTTTTATCACCGTACTCCTTATTGTGTCTTGGGTACCGTACGTCCTCATCTTTTCTCTCCCCGCTCACGCTTACATCTACCTTGTGACAAGAATCATAAGCTATAAGGTTGTCTACTCTATCACTCGTATCAGAGGCTTTAATCACATGATCAACGCCTTCGTCTACTGGGCCGTAAATCCTGTTTTCAGACAAGACGTCAAGCGAGTTTTCATCCATCTTAGGAAGTTGACGAACCGATAAAGATTTTTTTTAAAGGGTTTATCCTCTCCTTTTCAAGCGATCGGGGACCTTTTTGGCCCACAATAATGAGGCTTTTGGGCTAATCAAAATAGAAAAAATACGTTATATTAAAGCCTATAATATTATCAAGCAATGATTTGATTGTGTTAAAGCAATTTAGGCTAGGCTAAACAAGTGTACAAGTACTTTGTTATTATAGTTTTTCTTAGTTAAATCAGATGTACGGGAAATGACAAATGACATAAAAAACCTCCTCTGAATTTTCACCAACCATTCCGATATAGTTTTTCTGAATAAGACATATTACATCCACATTTGAAATCCCTACATCTGTCAGTGCTTTTACATGTTTAAGGATTGGAGTATGTTTATAGAGCTATTCGTCATCGATGTTATTGTTTGTAGTTGTTCCTTCTGATGAATAAAAGGTCAAGATGTTAACACTGAGAAATCACGAGTATGGAAAAGACCGCCTCTCATTGTTGAAAGGGTCATTGGCTGTAGCGCGGTGAATTGAATGTAAATACCGGATGGAAGATCAGCCTTTTGCTTAAAATGTATGTAAATAAAGTCTACTACTACTAATAATGCTACAGATCCTACTACTAATACTACTACTGCTCCAACTGCTCAGTACTAGTGCTTCTCCTTTTACTACTGCTTCAACTGCTACTATTAATATTACTACTACTACTACTAGTACTACTACTACTAGTACTACTTTCACTATTACTACTACTTCTGCTACTTCTAGTGCTACTTATTATTATTACTACTACTACTTCTTCTTCTTCTTCTACTAATACTACTACTACTTCTACTACTACTATCGGATGTACGACATTTGATGTTAATAGATTGATATGTATATATGACGATGAAAAAGATATATGGTAGAAGCCGGTTCAAATGAAACATGTGAGCTCTTATTTATAATCAGTAAATAGTGCAATAGTAAAGTGGTGGTCAAACATTAAACAAAACACAATTTACTATAACTTCAAAATCTGTCTACAGCGATGTAATTTTTATTTGAGGTATTCTTTTCGGATGTTGTTGTCGCTCACTATCTTATACAACACAAATAATCAGCGACGATATTCTTGAACTGGTTGCATATTCAATAGAATTGTAAGCTTCTTATTCAGGAGGTATGTTTCCTAGGAACCTCTCAACCCCCGGGCAAATGTCAATGAACGCCTTACAAGGCATATGTATATATATATATATATATCACAAAATAATAAACTACTTATCTGATATTCAAACATCATTATTCATGTTATTTGCTTTTGATTATTCTCAAAGTTTAATATACAACAAAATAGAGGAAGACGAAAAATGCCCTGCCCATCTTCAAAGAGTGTAAATCCGATTTGATTTGGAAATATTAAACACGTCTACCTTAACAACCCCTAACTATAATTGAAGAGATAATTCCATCCTAGTCGAGTGGTCCATACATATTCATCTAGGTATACACATTACTGCACCCCTCCTCATGTACGACTGTTCCTTTAAATTCAAAGATGCAGCATTTTCAGAAACGCATTATTGTTAATAAAAAAATATGGCATTCAAGATATTTTTGTCAATAGTGTTATTAAATCTGTTTGATAATAAATGTGTTATTACAGCCTTTAAAAGTAAGTGTGGCAAAATTGTTCCTGATCGATTTTCGTGCCAGAAATCTTTTAGACACGTCGCCAGACTCGACACACACCAGTGGCGGTGCCTCAACCGATAGTTCACTCAGGCACCGACATGGGCAGTCCGTTCGCTACACGTACATATATAAGAAATTTTATCGAACGAAGGGCGATATAAATGGTTTACATTCATCAGTGACATCACGAGTTCGCGGCGGCTTCTCTTCTGTGATGACCCTTAGCGGCATCTTGATAGAAAACAATAACATGCCGACACCCTTTGAGTCAGCCGCGCGGCTTCTTTCATGTACGCGTATCTATAAAAGGAATGTGCGCAATGTATGTTTCGAATTTATATATGGAATTATTTTAGCCGGGATATATTGGTTCTCACGGTGTTGGCGTGAGAATCCTCATTCACCTTGCAGATTTTTTAGAGGATGGTCATAGACATTATTCGGTGGCAAATTAATTTATTGGACTTTACTGAGGAAACATTGTAGTCGACAACTATTATACTTCGATTCTACATCGGATTTACAGAAGGGAACATTTTAATACAACTTGGTTCTTCAGAGTAATTATATACGGCGACGGGATCTTGAATTGTGTACATTTGGAGTTCATAATTGGTTAACTTTATATTAGCTACATAATTTTGTTAATTGTATCATCGCGTCGGGAATTATAATGCCGAAGGCTAAGCAGAAATCCAGGTGGACAACTGTTGACCGAATTGGGTCCTCACGTCCACGGAGAACTGCAACTGCAACAGCTCCGCCTTCCCAGCCCGTATCAGAGCCTCTCGTCCAGGCACCGCAGCCGAATCCCGGAGTGGAGCAGCGGGGACCGGGTCCATCCGCAAGTGAGTACGATTCTAGGCCGTTGGTTTGCGCGGGTATTGATACATTAAACTCAATTGGAGGCCCGGAGCAGGCGCAGCAGGTGGGGCTTATGATCAATGCCCCCCCCCCTTGTTGGCAACTCCTCGGGAGGTGCTGGGGTCAGCTGTTCCTCGCGCATTGCGGGATAGAATCTGGAAAGGCGAGTTTGTTGATTTCGGGGCCTTGCTAAAAAATGTCCCCGTTCCAGACGGCAGCGCACCCACGGTTATTGCCCTGTCGGGGTCGACATTGCAGGTACAACCGCAGCGAGGGGTGCCGCGAATAACCTCAATAGAGCAATGGACCAGCGCATTTTTGGTATTTGCGTCTATATACACCGAGAAGCATATAGTTCGGGCCTTAGAGATGTTTAAGTATATGGACACCGTCCGGACGGCGGCTAGATTTGGCGGCTACGGCTGGCGCACATACGATGCGCAGTTTAGGCTGAGGCAAGTAAGAGAATCCATTAGATCATGGGCTGTCATTGATAGTGAATTGTGGCTCATGACTGCCACAGCACCATGCACGCATTCAACCCCCGCCTATTACGGTGATGCAATTCGTGAAAGCGACCCCTTCGGCCAGACAAATTAATAGTGTTTGGTCCTTTTTGGATCTGCCAGTAGCACGATTTACTCACATTTTTTTTTTTTTTTTTTTTTTTTTTTTTAGAAAAGGCGCGGCCACATCAGCCGCTATGACCGGTTTGAAGCAGGGAAATTGAGAATACGGGGCGCTGGTCCTCGGACGCGCATAAGAGATATGTTCGTATTAATATGCTACCTGTTGCATAATTCATGATGTATTGTACCATATTATTTCTTTAATCATTTGAGTTAAAGGAAGTGTGTTAAGAAAAATTATCAGTTATTTGGGTTGATCTATATGTTTAAATAGTATTTATAATTGACTCATGTTTATGCATGAGGCAGTTGAAGATCAATATTGTTACATTTCATTGGTGATTTTGAAACGAGTTATCAACAACAATGAGCTGCCGGAAGTTTTCCTTTTTTCTTTCCTGCTGTAGGTTGCCAGTCTCGTACAATCCTGCTCATAGGCGATTCCATGATCCACTGGTTAGCCGCCTTCGCGCATCGTAAGGGAAAACAAGGTTTGGGGTCGGCAGCCAACGTCGTTTGGAGAGGAAGGAGGGGCCTTAAGCTAGGTCAACTAAGTGGACATGTCCAATGGGTGCTGCCCGGTTCCTCTCCGTCGCACATCGTTCTGCACGTTGGGACGAACGACGTCGGGCAAGCTAAAAAAGACGAATTGTTCTTGCTTTTGGATACAACACTCGGGCAATTGCACGAACATTTCCCCAATGCCCGCATCATTTGGTCGGATATTTTGCCTCGCAGGACCTACAGCGGCTTCAGTAAAGACGCGAGCAGCCCAAAATTGATCGGACGCGGCGAGCTCTAAACAAGCACGCCAGGCGCATATGCCGCACGATCGGGGGCAGTGCTTTGACTCACCTGGGCATCAGGCACGAGCGGCGCGAGCTGTTTAGGAATGATGGTATTCATCTCTCCGAGACCGGAAAAAATATGTTTCTTCATAGCCTTATTAAGGGGTTGGAAAACATGGCATAGATTTTCGTGGAGTTTTTTGTTATTCAAGTCATAATGAAACGTAGTAATCACGTTTGTTTCGGGTAATTGGTCTATTTTTATTTAGCTCAAGCTTTGTAATTACAAAACTCGTACGTTATAGCAAAAGAGACTTATCAGGCTAGTGGTTTTTATTAAGATGTTAAGTTGATTTATTTAACGTATAGATATATATATATATATACAGTATATGTTTCCCCATTTTGATGTTTAAAGGTAGTTATTAGGTTTCGGGTAATTGGTTTATTTAGCTCGAGCTTTGAAAGCATAAAACTTTTATGTAACGCGAAAGAGACTTATTAGGCTAATGGTTACGATTAACATGTTAAGTTTATTACATATATATACCCGGATTTTGATGCTGTGTATTTCAGTTAATGAAAATTACAAAGCTTTCTCATGAGCTTGGTCACAGTTGGGACCATGAACGCGTTTTTCATTGAAGACTGCTTTTGGTTTAAAATGAAAGGTAGTTATCTCGTTATTTTGATTAATTGGTTGATTTAGCTTAAGCTTTGAAATTTCAAAACGTGGGTATTGAACAGATATGGTAATTGGTTGAATGCATTATGTTCAAGTTCAAGTTCGCGTACTTTGTACATATATATATATATATAGCCGTTTTGTGGCTTTGTTTTATTTACCGATTATTGCAGAGTGTTTTCATGAGCTTAGTCACAGTCGTGGCCATAAATGTGCTTTTAACTTATAGTTTTTGGTTGGAAACGAAAGGTACATGTAGTTATCACGTTATTTTGGCTAATTGGTTGGATTCAATATGTTCACGTTCAAGTTTGTGTACTTAGTTCATATATATATATAGCCGTTCGTGGCTTTGTTTTACTATACTT